CAAATTGGGTAAGCGACAAGTAAAATTTTAGAATGGGTGCTTGGTCACTTTTTCTCGACGGCTGAGACTGACTTGGTATCGATGTCTGCGTCGAGAAAGAGAATGGTTCTCTCGAGGTTGAACAGGGGAGGGTCTTTAGGACAAGTTTAGGCCTACGCTCACGCAATGTTTTAGCCTACTTTTAGACCCTGGTTAAATGGAACGTAACGTAAGGCTGCAGGCCAAAAAAATTATATACGAGAGCTTAATCCTTGGACAGGGTCAGGAAACGGCAGGAGTCCCACTCCCCGTGTCTGCGAATTAAATGAATAGCCCTCGTATTTTCGGACAATCATCAGCGAAACCTAACCCTTAGGGCGAAGGTCTATCGTTTTAGCCGTTAAATTTCCCGTAGCTGTGAATACGCCTAACTTCTATGTTCGAGAATAAGAACGGAAGCAGAGCGAAAGACTTGCAGTTCCTCGCCTCTCGATGATGCCGTATTGGCCAGAGCACTAATACGCCATGGTTTCTATTTGGAAGCGGAATAGCTAGTCCGAGTAATATTTTCTTGCACTGGAAGATTATACAGAACTGTATTATTGATATCGGCCAAAATCGGAATGCATGAAAGAGCCGATGTGAGTACTCACCGATATGCACATATCGGCTGATTTATATCGGCAACCGATATATCGGTCGATCTCTATTTTTACCCCAGACGAAAAATGAATAAGGCGATAGGACAGAGGGTGGTGGTAGATGGGGGGGCGCTATGAAAAATGTATGCATCCCCCGCTACCTTCCACTGACTTCAGCTACCAACGACGATTATGCTGCCAGAGAATATCTATAATAAAAAAGTATGACTCCCACAAAATTCAATAGTAAGAAATTGGACAGCGGGCCTCGTTTCATTCCTTGCACCAGGGCCCATGCCAACCACTCTACGCCACTGGTGCGCGACATGCCTGAACGCGGGCCGTACGCTGCTCATCAGTGAGCAGATGCAGTACCCACTTAGCAAACATCTTCTTGCCTAGCGTCTAGTCCTGCACGGGCCGATTTTCCGGTACCCGACCCGATAGGCCCGATTCAAGTTTTGGCCCGCACCCGACCCGAAATCCGAATTCCAACCCAACTTTACGGCCAGACCCGACCCGACCAGAACAAAAATTAAACACTTCGACCTAAGCTTTCCTGTGCATTTCTTCTTCATTCAAAGTTGCTATGCAAAAACAGGAGGTTGTCGACTGTCGACTGGCAGGAGAAAATTTCTTAGAATGATTGAGCCATACAGATTCCGGTCTCGAGAGACACCAACTGCCCCATTCCCGGCTCAGATTCTTCCTTCATTTACATTAATTGCCGTACAATGAATTATTTTCCCTTACTTGGATTACATTCATAAATAAGATTCCAGCCATGATACGGAGTTCCCATAATCTGAGACTAGAGGAGCGATAAAACAAAAAAAATGCAATTTGAACATTTCGGGCCGACCCGACACAACCCGAAGAAGGATCTTGAGAATGTCGTCCCTAGACGGCCCTCAGGTCGAGTAGGGTCGGGCCGATTGGGAAGGCCCGCAACCTGTTCAGGGCTCTACTAGCGTCCTCACGCGGAATTCCATGGACGGTGTTGGTAAGGTGACCAAATTTCTGTGTCGTGAAAGTGGGACGCCCAATAAATACTTCCCTTGCCTCATAAAAAAGAATATTAATGTATTTGTTGGACTGACAATTGTATTTATTATTGCCAAAACATGAATTAGATCTGTTATTTAATTGTGCATCCACAGTAGCGCAACCAGCCCTAAAGTTGGGGGGGGGGGGGGGGGGATTAAGAGTTTCAGGAAAGTTCTTGAGTTGTCTTTCAAGTGTCTCCGAATGCAAGAAGGCGTTATCAAGTCTTCAGAAGAGGAAAACGCGAAACGACGTCGAACACGCGAACATAGAAAATGAAACGGAAAGTTTTCATTAAGTGGTGGAAACAAAATCTAAACAAATTATACAAGCGCATTCAATATTTGAAACAAAGCTAAAGCTGAACAGATTTAATTTCAGCCGAGATTTCACTGTGCAGATAAGCAACTGGAAATTCGTTAATGTACTTTATTCATGACTTTCATCCGAGTTGTGGTCCTTCCGTTTTCAGAAAAACTGTCAGCAGCGTCACATGTGCAGGACGCTTTTGTGACATTTTCATTTTACTGCAGCGAGTAGCCACATGTGACTGGCGTGACCCACACCTTTCGCTCCCATCTTTTCTAACCTCGCTCTCAGGTCTTTTGCTCAAGATTTTTCTGCTTCCCCCACCCTCGGAGGAGAGGGATCGGAAGAGATACTATCATGAGCAGGGGGTTTGGCCCTTTTTTTTTGCAGAGGGAGGTCCGGCTTCCTCAAAAATTCTCTGGAGTCAGTTACCCATACGATTTGAAAAATATATATTAAGATATCAAATACCTGAAAGAAATCTCCGAGAACCATTGGATCCATTCTCGATTGACGCAAAACGAGCCAAGTCCAATCCCTGGAAGTTGACTCCTCGCTGAGGGGAGTCAACTTCCCCTGACTCAGACAACTATAAAGATATCATATTGTTCACGCAATATAAAAGTAAACGATAGCAGGGGGGCCGGCCTCACCGTCTGCAGTGCACATGAGCTAGCTAGCTCATGTGCTCTCAATGTGCTAGCAATCGCTAGCAAAAGCTAACATGTTTTTAGGCCTTTTGTTTTTCGAAAAACCGAATTCGCATTGCCAATTTATATCTGTGCAGTAACCATGGATAAAAAAAAAGACAGAAGGTATGCTATTCATAACCTTGATATTCGCTAGATTTAGCTCGATGTGATGTTCTTTACAAGTTCTGAAACTCGCAAGGGAAGAAATGCGACCGTCATGTCATTCTCTCTTCGACATTTCCCAAATGCGGGACATATGGGCGTCCCGCCTACTCCATCGGGGGACACCGGGACATGTGGTCCGAAAGTGGGACTGTCCCGCCTAAATCGGGAGGTCTGGTCACCTTAGGTGTTGGGTGCTATGCTGACTTGCTCAGCCAACTCTTCGCAGGTTCGTCGGTCCTTTTCCAGAAGGTCTCGCACTGTTATAATCTGCCATTCCCATGAGTACTATGGAAAAATGGCGGATATTGCGATCGGTCTGTCACTTTTTCTTTTCATTCTGTCAGTCCGCAGTAACCATAGCGACCGGACAGCACGATCCGCTGCGCATGTGCAGCTTTCCGCCTGGGTCGAGGTGCCCAACTTTCACGAAAACATCCACTTCTCTTCCAGCCCTTTCGGTTGACCATAGTAGACAATGAGGGAGAACGGCTGCTCCCGACCGCGTAGACAAGGTTGCTAGGCGTACGCGTAAAATGTCGCATTTGGCATTCTACACTTCATACTCTCCTCTCATCTCCACGCAACGCAGACGCGCGGACCATCGAAAACACGTCTAGCTGTCTGGAACTTTCTTTGTAGGCCTATGCCGAATCAATACATTATTTATTTCAAGGTTCGATGCTGAGAATGCGGCGAAGATGATAATTCCAGTGGTATAGGGATCAGTGGAATGGCAGATCTGTACCTGGGCTGGTACTCTCTAGTTGCATTTGAAGCCGTTGAAGGTCTCCCAGAGCATGGTTGGTCATCCATGTCTTCACGGCCCTCCTTGACTGCCACCACCAACCTCCGAACAGTCTATAGAGAACAGTCTGTGTTCCCCAAGAGCAGCTGTAATGTCCCTGTGGATCTCAATGGGTGACTTGTCCGGCAGCATTAAGAACTTAACGATGGTGCGGATATCCGTGCGCGAGAAAGAATGCCGAGCGGATATTCGATCTGAGTTCCAGTTTTAATAACTGCTCATTTCTAGACCTTACGGCGTATTTATAGCAAACTTGATGGGTACCATCACGTGATACTAGAGTTTAATATTCTGAGATGGCTTTAAGCTAAGGTTAACAGGCAAACAACCACTGACTAGTGAAACTTACTTTTCAAATGGACTAAGTAGTTGTATTCAGCAAACAGACGGCCTAGAATTCGTCGAGACTCGCTGCAGTTGAGTTCCGCGATGATATAGTGATGAAGATGGGTGACAGCATGGAGCGTTCAACTCTTCGGCTTATATGCGTATAGGAGAGGCTCAGAAGATTGAACTCCATATTTTTTCAGTTGATCAAACGTGATGTATTCATAGAACTTCAGCAGAGGTGGGGGGGCAGGGCTACGGAGCAGGGGCGCCAAGCCCCACCCGAGGGGTATCGGGAGAAAATGATTACCTCCAAGGGGGCGCCAAGCTCTGTTTCATGGGCGCCAGGGGGTGGGTGTCGACAGGTGTGCACGGCCTTGCCATATTGGGTGGGACTCAGTTCTTTCAAATTGCAGCATGAGTTGTTCAGGTTGTTCGCGCCAAATGTGGGGTGCACTGAGCTCACTCTCTTTTTGTTCCGGCTCATATCCTACTCCTTCGCCCAATATTCTTTAGGTGATCTTTTGAGCGAAAACGGACAAACAATTTTGTATTGGCTCTTTGCATGGCATTCCTCACTACCGAATCCCATGCGTAAAAAAGATCGGAGTCCCTTAAATCAAGGCTTTTTCGCTCTGCCTCCTTGCATTTGTGATTTCTTTGTTTTTCACATTTTCTCCATCAGAACTGATGATCGTAAGTGGGCAGGTTTGATCGAAAAAGAACTTCAGATAATGATAAATGACAACCACTGGATTCTCATCGTTCAGGAAAACATCCCACTCTGTAGATGAAAAGCCTAAAATGTTAGATCGTACCTTTTCGCCCCACTCTACCTCACAGCCTTTCATTCACACCATAACATTTATTTCCGATTATTCCCATGAATGTGCCCAATTGAAACTGCTAACTGCCAATTATGTCCTAGGACTACAATTATGCCAGAATTTTCATCGCAAAACGCCTTGCGATTCGAGAATGTTTACAACAGGTCCTCCCAGAAAAGCAACATTGCAAATGCCATTAACTGAAATACACTTATAAAACGAAACGCTTTATTTGCCCTCTCGGTTGCAGACCGTGTTGCAACGTTATGATGGATCTACGAAGGATATTGTATTAAACTGATGAATTTTAAGAGTCGTTGGGAGCGAGATGGTTCTTGGATCTGTGGGTTTATTTGAAAGACGAAGGAATGAAAGGTCTCAGACGGGATGGGCTTCGTAATAGTTTGGATCTCTCGCAAACTGTCCCAGGACGAAATCCAGGAAGTCCAGGAAAGATTGAACGTTGGCGCACACCACTGTGGGGAAGACAAGAACGAGTTTAGACAGAGTTGAGTATGGAATCGCCTGGAAGAACAGAGTAATATCAGACCGGGAAGGCCGGATCCGCACTGGAGACCCCAGGAGACGATGCCAACGATGAAATACCTCTCGTCTGGACAATAACCCCCCGTTGGGCATACTCCGAATCCCTTCTCTTCTGGTACGGCACACATCAACGCTCCTCCTCCATCACCCTAATGCAACAGAGATAACCGATGATTTGAAAATGACCGATGAACCGATGATGATCTCGTTGGGAAGATGATCAGTATTTCAAGACTCCAGAATGGACGATGAGTCCATTTGAATCAAATGCCTCCCACGAGGCATTAGATCTATTTCTGTGAATCAAATGCTTCGTGGGAGGGAAAGAGAAAGTACCAGGAAAGAGACAGGCAGTTGGAATTCTCAGCGCATCTGAAAGCACCTGTGCAATTTACATGCGCGACCAAAACATCCAGTTTAAGTACCAGACGTCATACCCAGGACTAGTCATATCTTTGAGCTCTTGCGACGGTAGGTTACTCTCTGGCTCTCCACAGCACTCATAGCACTATATCTGTTTATTTTTGAAAAAACGAATGCATTAGAGCTCTATCTACGAGGTGTAATCAGAAAGTCAAAACCGTATACTGTAACTCCTAAAGTATACGAAGTTTCGGAAAGCCAGTTCTCTCACTTCTCATCATAGTCTCCTTGGACCTATCCAAAGTGTCGGACGTAACATCCGGAGTAATATGTTTGATATACAGACCTTGAATACTTAAGTACAAGATGTATTTAAGCATGTTATAAATGACGAATCAGCATATATAGGCTGCAACAATTAGCCCTAGGCTGTGGCTAAGAGTTACATTAGCCAAGGTCTTGAATATTCCCTTTTGCTAGAGGTGTATGTGTACGAGAAAAAGTTTTAAAGTGACATTTCATGAAACCTCAGGTTAAAGTCACTGGCTCTAATGCTCAAATTTCTGCCATTTAACGGAATCTATCAATTTAGAATTATGTTCATTCTATTGATTAAATGAAAGACTAGAATTAGCATAAGTCACCCCATGATGATAGAATTTGTAAAAGAAGGCAAGGCTATATTGTGACCGTGTCGGATGCGACATGTTCTAAAAGTGCATTTGTATTTTCAAAAACGAGAACCCGCATGTTTCTTTTCATGTTCTTTTTAAATAGCATCCAAATGAGAACAATTGACATCTTCTCTTCACCACTTAGCGGATTTGAAATTCTCACTGTACATGGGAGATCCCACGGTAGCATCTGATCCAGTAATCCAATTAAGAGGAGACCCCCCCCCCCCCCCCCCTCGAAAAAAATCGGTTATTATGCAAGATGTCTGCATGAAATTTGATATGCGAACGCAGTAAGGCCAGAGATTTTCAGTCATGGTCATATTTCCTCAGCAGCACACTGGTTGGCATGGCAACCAGTTGCCAAAGTGATATAATCCATTTTTGAGGAACAACTTTGGAGCTTGCTATACTCCAACCTATCAGAGGTAGATGAACAAAACTAAGAGAAGTAGTCAGATGGATAATTATTCAACATTTCTATGTGATACAATTTACAAGATTCGCGTGTTTTTTATTTTTCCAAAACTTTCATTTCTGGTGCACCAATATGACCACACACTCCTTGCTATAAATGTCATAACTATGTTATTTTTAGTGACATTGGAAAACTACCATATAGAAACATGCACAAACGTGTATGTTTGTAATGACTGTAACAAAATTTGAAGATGATATCTTTAGGCATTCCAGAGATACAGTGTCCCAAAGTAAGAAAAAACACTTTTAGAGAAAACCGAAAACTTGACGTTTCACTTAACTAATTATCAGCAACTATTCGGAAGAAGATGCCTACAAAATCATCCTTTTGGGGGACAATGGAAGCTGAAAATCTTCATAGTTTCGACGGAATGGAAATGTATTACATTTTTACAATACATGCATTTTTCTTCTGAAAACTACGAAAATCTGAAAAAGTGAAATTTTCACAAAAAATTCGAAAATTTCGAGGGAGGAGCCTCCTCTTAAATCCCTCCAGATTTACATTTCCCTCATATTCATGAATATCATGAGTGGGACAAACACTATATAATAAAAATGACCAGTTCTTTCATTTTCAAAAATAAAATTCTCATTCATTTACGCCTTCGGGGAAATGAGATGAACTTTGGTATAGAAAATTCGCAAATTTGGAGAAATTTCCTGCTACGAATCTTCGGACCACTTGGTGTGAACAGACCCCCTTCTTTCTCTCTACGCACAGTTGTGACTGTTTTGATCAGTCTTTATAGTACTTGGTGCTTGAACCACTGGTAGACTGCAGAGCCCAGGGCTCGTTTCGAAGGATTTCTTTCCCCGCAGCGAATCCTTGAGCTTCCCAAACGGTCGAAAGTGACAGAACGAGATCTGGTGAATAGGGGGAATGTGGTTAAAGTTCGATCCTCCTTTCAGCCAAGACCTCTTTCTCAACGCGGGCAGGGTGTGGTGGTGCGTTGTCCTGGTGCAATATGAAATTTCCATCAACCAGTTCCGGGCACTACGTTTCCACTGTCGGCAAAAACTCCATTTCTAGCAGGTGTCGGTAATACTGGATGGTTTCACCCTCGGGAACAGCACGAACCAAATTCATGCCTTGTTCGTCCCAGAAAACGGTGTACAGAATATTTTCGTTGGAAACAACTCGTCGAAACGTCGTCTGATGTGGAATCGGTGTGCTTCCGTTGTTTCGAATGTTTCTTGGACTCAAGAACGAAAAGAGGGATCCATGTCTCATCCATAGAGATTACACAGTCCATGAAATTCGTATGGTACGTCGCATTTCGTGTCACCATGACTGAAGTGTCCAGACGGCTTTTCCCTCGGAAAGCATGCGGGTCACCCAGCGAGCATTCACTTAGCACGTGTTCGGCTCGTCGGACGGAATCTTTGCAAAGCTTCCTAGGGAGACTCCTTGTCTTCCTGCGACATCATCGATGGACAGGCGTCTGTCTCATCGCCAGATCTTCCACACGTTGCATGTTATGGTCGGAACTCGCAGTTCTGAGCCTTCCAGAACGGGGCTCGCCTTTGGTGGAAACTCGTACGGTTGCGTACTCCTGCACCCACTTCCGGACGGTGTCATCGGCGAGGCAATCAACCCGTGTGTGCACTTCTTTAACTGGCGATGAACGTCGATGGATTTTTCTCCTCGTGCAGCAAGAAATTGCACCGATTGTGAGATTCATATTTTAATCTAGTCCCTTAAAAAATTAACAAAACTAGCAAAAACTAAAATCGTCTCATCACCGTCTCAGCAACGAAGCGACTGAGGGTGAAGGACGGTCTGAAGACGACGACAACCACCGATCGACCTCGATAGTTACGCACATGGCCACTATAGGCTAGCGACAGGACTTTCTGACAGCATCTCGTTCATGCATTTCGATTACCCTGTAACACGTTGAATCATTATCCACAGGGTTATTGAGGGAGTGGACTGACGGGAAAGCGAGATAGTGGTTTTCAGGTGAACTTCAATCACGTCGAAAATTAACCCTTTCGCATCCACATGCGTACTGGTACGCATCGTCCCCTATTCTTCCCCCTACCCCATGGCCTAGATAAGCAGAGGCTTGTAGGCTTCGCGCGTAAGGCTAAGGCAGCATAATTCTAGCCCAGATAGGTCGAAGAGTTCCTGGATGCGAATGGGTTCAGAAACAGTTTATGGTTGGTCAAAAGACGAAGGGTTCGACTCCTAAAGCCTATCGATCGTTACACTAGGAATAGCATCAAGTCCCTGCTCTCTAAATAAATCCTGCTAACAGGATCAGGAAATGAGAGCGAGATTTTAAACTTTTAGTCGCTTGAGACATCTGGCAAGAGCTCAATAATACATATAAAATGAAATTATGGAAAAGAGTAAAGGTCATATTATACAGGGTGTACCGTTTGGGTATGGATAAAAGAAAAACTTTCTAAAGCCAAAACTATGAGTGTTACAGCGCTCATCTTTTGTGTGTTTGTCCTTGAAACTTGGGAGTTTGTTATCGACTCACCCCAGAGCGGAACCACGCATGCGCACAACAGATATAAGTGTTAGTACACAGCAGTAAGTACACAGTGTTCTTCACAAAACCCAAAACGAAGAAATCTGGTGGTGTCAAATCTGGTGAATTTTGGGGCCAAGCAATGGGTACGCTGTTGTGCATTCACCACCATCTTTGATACTGCCATGGTATGAGTTGTGCGCATGCGTGGTTCCGCTCTGGGGTGAGTCGCATAACAAACTCTCAAGTTTCAAGGACAAACACACAAAAGATGAGCGCTGTAACACTCATAGTTTTGATTTAGAAAGTTTTACTTTTATCCATACCCAAACGGAACACCCTGCATAATATTCCAGCAAATCCATGGGCAACGCTGACAATATGTATTCCGTACATTTGCAATTAAGGTTAATCCCCGGTAACTCATATCTCTGAACGAAAGAAAGCGGTGCATTTCAGTAGAAGATCTTTTCGAACTCCCTTCGTACACTCACGAAATTGCCCACTCTCCAAGGCGTATTTATACAAATCCATTAAGAACCTCTTCTTCATAACAGAGAGAGTCTGAACCATATTGATGGGGGGGGGGGAGGGGCGTAGGGAGGGAGGTGTGGTTCGGGTCAAGAAGATTCCTTAGATAATGCATACTTTCACTTTTACTTTACTGTTGAGTAAAAACAAGCCTTTGCAAAATAGTCGTGAGGGAGATGAAGGTCGTACTTCGCAGGCGTCTTGACCGTCGATTCCGGCAGCGCAAATGCTATTGGGGTCGAGCTTAAAGAAGGGGCTCAAGTGTCCTTCCTCCTTCAGTCTCCTTTCACATTGTTCACTGGAGATGACCTTCAGGCTCGCCTTTCTCAGCAGATTCTGATTCGATCTCCCGGACTGGCAAGAAAGAAGTGGGAACTGAAGAAACAACACACCAGACGACTGTTTCCTGCATAAATCGTTCATACGTTGTAGGGGTCATAACCCCATCCGACGACGTAGCATCTATATTTGGCAGGCTGGAGTTTCCCATTCGGCAGGCAAATTGGGGCAATGTGTGGAGTCCTTCCCAGGTTGATGGGACTATCGAGGAGCACCACGGCTAGATCGTTCATCAGCATCCCACTGAGATATTCTGCAGACAGAGGAGCACATCCAGGACCAAGCGTACAACTCATGAATGTCTGATATAAAGCATAAGTCTCTCGTACGTGGGTGGAAAGTGATCCGTAAGACGAGGCGTTCAATGAATGGGAACAGTTCCTGACTGTGAGAATTTAGATCCCATTCCCCGCAGCGGATGATCAGCCTTCTCCTTTCCCTGCCTGCAGGAAAGAGTGAAGAAACACTTCGCATCGGCTACTATAGTTGCACTCTCCAGTTTAGAGACTGACCGTGTACGACGTGTGCAGCAGTGACGACGGCCTGAGGATGAACCAGCGTTGCACCGCCGATGTAGTTCACTACTCGATCCCGATCTATCGATTCTTCCGGTTCCCTCTCCATGATCAAGCACTGGGATTTAAAAAAAAAAAGAAGGAAAATCCAATCTTCATGAGAGTAGAGCTGGGTGCAAAACTTTCTCTCAGAATTCTCCTTTTCACGCTTCAATGACTGGCCTAACTTTTCAAGATCGTCCAGTTCTCCCGTAAAGGTCATAACATCATAACAAGTGCCCGGAATTAAAAAGATAAAGTTGTGGAAAGCGTCACAAAGCAAGCAAGGATTTTCCTGAAATTTGGCACGTAGATTTCCCCTATTGGATAATTTTTTAAATGCTGAATATTTTTATGGTATTGTATTAAATTGTGGAGGCCTGCAAATAAAAATGATTGAACGGCGCTGGAGAGGGTTCAGAAACGGGCTGCTAGAATGGTAGAATAAGGAGCTACGAGGACATTCACAAGAGAGGCATTTAGAAATGTTGAGACCCTATTCACTCGAGAGAAGGTTAACGAGGACGAACCTCATACGTGCATCGAAGACCACTAAAAAAAATCAATAAGTTTGAATGTGGCAGGTTTTTCCAATTTGATGGTCACAGCAGGACGAGGGTTAACTGTTTCAAGTTGTATAAGCGTCAAATAAGACTCAGGTTGCAGAATGACTGTTTTACTTTCAGGGTAGCGAATGCGCGGAACCAGTGGCGTAGGTAAGGGGGGAGAAGAGGGGGCTCTAACCCCCTAACCCCCCCCCCCCCTTGGGCTTCCCGGTCAGTGACATCGAAAGGCATATTTCCACTTTCCTTGGGAATTCCAATTGTAGCTATCACCCTTCGAGGAAAGTCCGATGTCCATTCACAGACTCAAGATGCCAGACCACGATTTCTTCAAAAAGGTCAATTCTGGGCAGTGAAGCTAGGCGTAGGGTCTAAACCCCCCCCCCTTGCCGATTTCCTGCCTACGCCACTTCGCGGAACGCCTTAAGTGATGAAACTGGTCACGGAACCACGGAAGGGGCAAAGACTGTACCTAGATGTTAGATGCCTTCACGGACGAAGTGAAAAAGAGAGTAGTTTAGGCAACGCGATAATGAGGTTTCAGGACGGAATATTTTATCCATGCATATTTTTTACATGTAATACTGTCACAACTGCATTGTTTTGCTGTGAAAAGTATGCCAAATGGGATGGGAAAAGTGCAGTTATTAATGGTGACTGTGTTGAAAAACATTCATGAATGCTCGACAATCATACGGGAGCAGAGGACTTATTGGGCACCACTCGTGCGCTTCGTTTGCGAAGCATCTCAGTTTCAAGCATCGAAGCATGATAGAGCGCATGCCCATAACTGTGTTTATCTGTAACGGTACAAAGGAAGGAATGGGGTCTCTCCTCGGCATTGGCACCAGAACCGATAGGAATCTCTCGAGCTGGAACTCCCCTACACGGCACTGTTGAGGGTCAAAACGCGGCACATAGGTTGCCGATGTCCATGACTGGTACGAGCGATTTCGATGTACTACTTCCATACCTCCTGGGCGTAACACAGAGTGGCTCAGTTTGTAACCGTGACGCTAGGCAGATGCTTCCCAGAAAGCAGATGGGTTCCCCTTCGGCGGAGTATCCACTGCCCCAACTCGGATCTACAGCCTCCCGGATGTTAGTCGGAAGCCCAAACCACTTGAACTCCGGTTCTTCGAACCGGAGTTCAAGTGGTTTTAGATAGTGGTTTTAGGTAGTTAGAATTATCGCCTTGGAACGAAATCGGTTGAAATTCCAAAAGGGAGTTGGGAAAATATATGTTCGTAGCTGCAAGCGCTGTAAGAGTAGAGATACGAGGTCACTCGGAGAATTCGTGGACAGAGAAGATATCGCCACCAGAGAATGCAAATGATGATAACTGCTCAAACCATGCCTCTCGAGCGACAAGACAACTTTTCTACCCGTACACCATCGTGGAATGCAGTCCTGTTATGCTCCAAGCAGGTGCATCCTTGATCTTTTGGAGCAAAAAAGGCGCAGAGAACAAGACCTGGGCTATAAGGACGATGATCGCTATAAGGACGATGCTTCACCGATTGGGCTCCTGCCTCTGTGAGGAAGCCCAAGGTTCTGATGGAAGTTGCGATGTGGCCTGTCTTTAGATGGTTGGTCTGGACCTCCTCGTAGACCACATTTCGTCGTACCTCTTGGCATTCGCAGTCTCTCGAGGGTCATCGATGCCACATACCCGGAAACACCGAGGAGGGAGGCAATAATATTCTTACTCGTGCAGCGCGTTCTCTTGGTCTTCCTTGGCTTGCGGTCACCTGGAAAGACCGACACCGTCGATTGTCGCTTCGTCTCGTGACCAAATCGGTGTACCCATGACGCGTCACCAGTAACGATGTCGTAGATATGACTAGATCGACCTATGAGGGGTGCCCAATGACTTCTCGGTCTGACTAGCGTAGGCCATCGGCTTTTCAATCAATGCCGTGCAGGCTAATGGTGTCACCACTGCACTGTTTCCGTGTTAAGTTAGAAGCTTGTAGTTATTCTAATGCAAGGGCATAACTTCGCTGTCCCTCGGTTCGACTTTTGTAGGTAACAACAGAGGGAACTTGCTGAATTGTAGAAAAGCTGGTGAGGAATAGGCCGATGAAAACGAGGGAATCTGCACAGGCTTTGGGCATCTCAAACTGCTGTGATCGATTCATTTTGCAGAAAAAAAGCTGGGACTGTAAAAGGTCTGTTGTGCCCGCTGGGTTCCCTGAATGTACTTATAATTCAACGAGGTGACGGGGTCGATGACGAGTCCACGGAATTTTCGCCGGTTCCACGCCGATCCAGCAGACTTTAGTTCGCGGTTACTTAGTGAGAATGAAACCTGGCTTGGCCACTGTGGCTCAGAATCCAAGCAGCAGTCGATACAGTGAGGAAGCAAGGGCTCCCCGCCACTCGAGAAGTTTCGGACTCTGGTCCCTGATTGCAAAGTGAAATTGACAATTTTCTGGGACACAATTGGAGACATTATCATCGATTATACATCCCCCACCGATACCATTACTGGTCAGTACTATTCTGCATTTCTGGAGAGTTTGCGCGAATCTATCAAGAAGAGTACCGAGTTAAGTTGAGGAAATGAATTGCCAATTTGCATGACGATGCACCAATTCACACGGCTAACGTTTCACGGGTTTCCCGCATCGACGCTGGATTCAAACGTTTGCTGCATCCTCCCGTATTCGTCCGACTTGACACCCGATGACTTTTACTTGTTCCAACGATTCGAGGAACATCTGCGAGGGAAGAGATTCTAGGACGGCAATGCGGTGAAACGCGAAACCGAAGGGTGGTTCGAAGGGTTGTCCCAAGAGTTCTTCTAGACCGGCGCGGAGAAGCTGGGAGGTTCGATGGAAGACGATGGGAGAAGTGTTGTCATTTAGGGTGACTCTTCAAAATCTTCATCGAGCACCGTCGACAAATCGCCACATGATGCTCGGGCCGAAGACTTATTGGGCATCCCTCGTACGTAAAATGTTCGCACCGTCGATTCGGACCATTCGATGATGTTTTGTTTCCTGGCATCACTCGGTCGGTGAAGCATCCAACAACTTTTTCAAACTTCTTCGATCCAAGCTCTCGGTGGAGGATGAAGTCGATACACCCGCGTGGAATGTCCAGTGTATCCCGAATTCCCTCCTCACGACGATGTGGATCTTTCTCGAGCATTTTTCGAATGAGGTCCACCGATCCGGAGCCACCGCTGAAGGCGGTCGAACTGAACGAGGCCCATCTGGGAGATTCGTTCGCCCACGAATGACTTCAACAAAACTCGAAGATAATGGATTTCTTTGATTCATCGCTTCCGAAACCTGATGCGATTCGAGCGAGACCTTAATGCCCATCTGAGTCGTATTAGAAATAAAATAAACATTACTATGGGACGCAAAACGTGGTCCTCTGTCCCTTCGGACGAAATATAAATATGTAACCTTTCGACATGAAAGAAGGAATCTCTGTCTGTGAGGGATAATGACAGTTGGGGAGTCACGGCTTCATCATGTCTAAGTGGTCGCCAGAGAGTCGTCTAGGTAAATGGTATCCGAACTTCTTTGAATCGCGACCTTCCAAAAACTTTTGCAATCCGCAACTACTTTAAAGGATGAATTTTCAATCGGTACTCGAAATGGGATTTTTTTTCCCATGGAGGGGGGGGGAGGGCTGCTGGGCGAAACATAATTTATCTTTCAGTCAATTTTGTGCCTGATTTCCTCTTGAAATTTATGCTTAACAGTCATTTCCCGTGATTCTTTCATTCCGATGTTACGAAATGTGCGCTTGCTAGCCTTGCCAAGGATTGTCGATTCGAGGCGGCTTCTTTCCGATACGCGTATATTGCCATTCTTTTCTAATGGGAGACATTCCAGTTGAAGCGATCCCATTAGGACTCCTGCGTATGTAGCCCCTGAGCCCTTCATGCTCATGCCACTCTTCTCTTGGTAGTTTTCATCGATCGTTTACTTTCAGTGTTTTGCCCTCAAGGAACAGGGGGTCCAATCATTTCAAGGGTGGACTGACTATCTCGAAAGAACCTGTCCGATCGGACCAAATATATGAAATATCGCGTCCCATCGAAATGAATATTTAAGATCTGTGGTCCCTCTTAACCAAATATTGTGTGGCAACACGCTACGTTACAACGGCTCAAAATTTCTCCGCGACTCGTTGCATGCTTTGCCCCAGATCACACGACAGCTATCGATCGACTAAAGGCGTCTGTTTACTTAAACTTGCCAAAGACTGGCGACACCTGAGATCGTGAGCAAGATTTATTCCCCCTTCCATAAATTCGACTCCGAGATCTTCACGGTTTGCCTTCGTCAACGATCTTACCGAACGTGTATGAAGTTCAGAGGTTTTTTTTCTGTATGGTGTCCTGTATTTTTGTTTCTAAAATTCTAAGTCTCATTTCACTCTGGAAGGTGAAATAAAAGTAAAAGGAAAAGCGTATCCTTCCATCGAAAAAGAGACCGGGGAATGGATCATTCAGCCGGTTGTGTTCCCTCGTTAGACGACTCGAATAGGAGCTTCGCGACGAGAAAGAGGATCGCTTACGTGCCACGGGAACTCTCCGAACTTAGCGAGTCCATCGTAATCGGAAAAGCCGATCGACACCCGCCCTGTGACTCCGAACTCGTGCCTGATGCCGCACTGGGGAATGTATCTGCAATGAAACCTCCCATCGATTATTTGGAGGCACGGTGACTCATCAGACCGGCAAAATGAACGTTAGACTGCGTCCAGAAAAGAAAAAGGGTGCCAGTTTTAGGATGCCAACCATTTTTTTTTAAGTAACTCCATCCGATGCCGAGCGAGCTTCATGGTTTTTTCTGCACGTACCATTTCGGATGAAAAAAAAAAAGATTTCACCGACTGAAAATTTTCGGTCGTTGCTTCAAATTCAATAACTTGTCAAAGTTGGGAGAATAAGTCCTTGAGACCTACGGAAAAACACGAAGATCGAGGATAAAAAATGCAAGAAGAAACCAGCAACCGTATTAAGAACGGATTGTTCGCAGAGACTGCCCGCTGCTTGCGCTGTCATTTTGGACCTACCAAAGTAGCGAACCTGACGAGGAGCTGTGAACTCATTTCTCCGTTGCGACTCCTGCAACTTCAACGTCGAAAGGCGTTTCAAGAGATTATTGGGATTTTTTTTAAAGCTTGGTAGAGATCTTTCTCATTCATACGAGACGTCACGCCCTTAAAAAATGTTTACCTGAGGTAAAATTGGTACGGTGTGACAGAGGTAAAAAAAGAGGAAGTTTTCTCGTTTGTTTACCTCATTTTCACTGTCGGGTAATTCCATCTCAAAGCAGCCAGAGGCTGGAGCATGAGCCCTCCATTGACGAACATTTTTTATGTTATTAGGTGAAGATATATAATACTAGCGAGTTTGTTTGCCCTTCGGGCAAACAAACTCGCGATGGTCGCGCCTTCGGCGCTCTATTACCTTGTATTCATGATTCATTCATCCATTTTTTGCGAAATTTGAAACGCGTATTTAAAGTACGTTCCCATTGAAATATTGAATACATGACATATGGGGTTGAAAGTTTTGATTTTTATCAAAATCATTACCTCTATGATTCTATGTGTGCCAAACTTGAAATCTTTTATTACGTCCCTTATTTAAGGGTGGAGAAGCCATTTTAAAATACTTCTCTCCAATAATCTACGCTAAGAAGTCATATGTCAAAATTGGTATTTTTCCTCTACTCAGCTGTCAAACAGGTACTTCTGAGGGAAGTATAATTTTCTGTCTCTGTTTCGTTGGATAAAAGAAAATCAGGAGAATGGGAGTGAAAAAAGTGCCCTTTGATTTTTATCAAAATCATTACCTCTATGATTCTATGTATGCCAAACTTGAAATCTTTTATTGTGTCCCTTATTTAAGGGTGGAGAATCCATTTTAAAATACTTCTCTCCAATAATCTACGTTAAGAAGTCATATGTCAAAATTGGTATTTTTCCTCTACTCAGCTGTCAAACAGGTACTTCTGAGGGAAGTATAATTTTCTGTCTCTGTTTCGTTGGATAAAAGAAAATCAGGATAATTGGAGAGAAAAGTGCCCTAATGGGTTTTTTATTAAATATTTTTTTCTTTTGAAATGTAGACTCATGAAAATGTATTTGGAAAAGCGACGCACCCAAAACCTATGCTCGGAGGGGATGCCCCATTAAAGCTGAATACTCCCTCAGGTCAGTAATATCATGTCACTTATACCTGTGCCTAGTTTCACCTTTTCATTTATGTCCAATTCGCCCAAATAATTTTTTTTCAAAACATCGCCTCTCGAAAAAATTTCCCCATGGGATGTATCGAGACATAACATTTTCGTTTAACTCTTTGTGTAAGTAGTAACATTCATGCAAAGTTTCTGCTTCCATGTTCATCAGGTTAATGCAAAAAAAAATTAGTTGAAAATATCTCCTTTGAAATTTGTTTCCCCATGGCATTTACTTCCAAAGTCTGAAGTTTTCTGCAGCATCCCAATAGGTATTTATGTACCAAGTTTCATCTTTCCACACTAGCTCAATACTCCAGGACAAAAAAAAAAAACTGAAAACGTCGGCTCCCCATAATATGCCCCAAGGGCATGGATCTAATTTGTTGCATTTTTCCTGAACTCTTCNAACGTTTTGAAGAGGTTGCGTGAGGCTGTGAGGAGGAAAAGGGGCGATCTGTGGAAGGAGAACTCGTGGATCACGATAACGCGCCGGCTCACACAGCCCTTTCTGTCCGAGAGTTTTTGGCCGCCAAACGGATCACTGAAATGGATCACCCGCCGTATTCGCCCGATTTAGCCCCCAGTGACTTTTGGCTGTTTCCCAAACTCAAAAACTTTTTGAAAGGCCACCGATTTCAAAGCATTGAAGACATTCAAACAAATGTGATGCAGACTCTGAAAGACATCCCGAAAGAAGACGTCCACCGCTGTTTCCAGCAATTGCAGCATCGTTGGGATAAGTGTATACGTTCTGGAGGGGAGTACTTTGAAGGCGATGAATGCGATTAATTTGTAAGTTTAAAAATAAATGTAAAAAAAAATCAAGTCCGGAAACTTAATAGCCACACCTCGTATACTTGGTGACGCAATGTAAGGGGACTTGATGGGAGCTCTAGACATCCTCGCATGAATTGTCATCTCCCTGTTTACCTGAGAGGCATTGACGATGGTGAAGAGGTAGACGAAGACAGGAGTGACTTGCATGTAGAAGAACCCAAATATCCAGCCGATGCCCAGTAAGCATGAGAGGGATGCCGTGGTCCAAATTATGTACCTAGACCATTTCAAAATTTTCCAGTGTCAACATTTGAAGTTGTATCGAGTAGTTCCCAGAAAGACAAATCCTAACTTACACTTCGTTTTTCTGAGTGGAATGTCGGACAATCCCACTCTGACTAATGTTTCGAATCGCCAGAAACATTAAAACAGTGTTCAAAAGAATAATGACCAGGACCGGGCCGGCGAAGGTCCAGATGTAGTGAGGCGGTGACAACCAACAGCTGAGAAGTAAATGAATAAAGAAACATGATGTCCACAATATCGTCCTAAGCATTGTACCCAACCGATGTAAGATGCTCTTGCTTTTTCTTTGAATTCCTTAGTTCGTGTTTGGAAACATACTGTGCGAAGATGTTGTACCTTGGAATGTTAAACTAAATGCATTTTTATTTAATTTGGAGTCCATAACGCAGTAACTTTTTTGTCTAACTATTGATTATGATATTTCGATTATCCACAAATACTTTATACACTGGTGGACAAAATTAAGGTAACACCGTTTTTTGTCTTATATGTTAATATTTTAATTACAATTGTAGATACACATGTTCACATTCTTATTTACAAGTAATTTTTCATGCAAATTCCGAATCTCCAATTGACATTGATGTACGTGTATTGCAATATGCAAATTAGTGAAGCCTATGAAAAGGAGGCGGCTATTGACTTCTAAGCATGTCTGTTGGAACATGTAATTTTTCGTTTCATGATGTAATTATCAAAACGCAAATTATCATAAACTACCGGTCCAAAGTTTCTCCTTTTTAATACACTTATCTGTAACTAGCGAGTTTGTTTGCCCTTCGAACAAACAAACTCGCTATGGTCGCGCCTTCGGCGCTCTATTACCTTGTATAGTGATTCATTCATCCATTTTTTGCGAAATTTGAAACGCGTATTTAAAGTACGTTCCCATTGAAATATTGAATACATGACATATGGGGTTGAAAGTCTTGATTNAAATATTGAATACATGACATATGGGGTTGAAAGTTTTGATTTTTATCAAAATCATTACCTCTATGATTCTATGTGTGCCAAACTTGAAATCTTTTATTACGTCCCTAATTTAAGGGTGGAGAATCCATTTTAAAATACTTCTCTCCAATAATCTACGCTAGGAAGTCATATGTCAAAATTTGTATTTTTCCTCTACTCAGCTGTCAAACAGGTACTTCTGAGGGAAGTATACTTTTCTGTCTCTGTTTCGTTGGATAAAAGAAAATCAGGAGAATGGGAGTGAAAAAAGTGCCCTAATAGGTTTTTTATGAAATATTTTTTTCTTTTGAAATGTAGACTCAGGGATTTCCATGCCACCCAGTCACAACCTCATACGTTTCCCCTTTTTGCTGGCGAAAAAAAATATATTTGGAAAAGCGACCCACCCAAAACCTATGCCCGGAGGGGATGCCCCATTAAAGCTGAATACTCTCTCAGGTCAGTAATATCATGTCACTTATACCTGTGCCAAGATTCACCTTTGCATTTCTGTCCAATTCACCAAGACAATTATGTGAAAACATCTCCCCTTGAAATTCATGCCCCCAGGGCATTTCATTCCA